TGTATATTTAATTCATATAATAATATTTATTCGCGAATATGGTGGTTTAGATTTTTAGATTTTTGTAGACACGTAGAACAAATTAACTATATTAAAAAAGAATTTAGGTATACGAAAATAGTCAAGAGACCAGCAGAAGGAAAGTAAAGTGTAAGCAGTCTGATCTTCGCGGAACTATTTACCGTTATAACATACTTATTTTCCCGACGCATGAGTACCGGCGGGGCCGCCCGCCCAGAGCTCGCGTTGCTTTTCCGTTCTCATTACGATCGTAGCCACGATATCTCTGCTACCGTGTACAGTTCGGCGTGGACGCGCATCGAGACAATCTTTTATTTGATTAAAAAAAATAAAATAAAAAAACGAACACAAATGGAAAAAACTGCATTGTGTGTCATCGCCGGTAATTGCCGCCTTGTGACCATTCGAGAACGGGATCGAGCGCGTTATAAACAGCGCGCGAGCGACCGCGGGATACGATCGGCGTTAGATTAAAACGTAACTATTGTTGCGACTAACCGCATGATAATAGCGTCATATCCGCGCGGGTATAACGCGCGCGCGCGAAAAGGCTTCCGGGATTGGGGCGTTAAAACGGCAAACGGCGCGAGCCCGGTTTTACGGCAAAGTAATTGACAATTAATACGCGGGCCCCGCTTCCAGCATCGTGCAGCGCCGCAAGTGGAAAGCGAAAGGCCGGCCGCGAACCAGAGCGTGACCCCTTCGTGAGATCGGGAGTGCGTTTATTCGCGGGAAAAAAATAGCGGCCTCTGAAATGTGTATCGCACCGGTCTGCGCGGCGCGCGCGCGCCTTTCCCGTGCCGGCCGTTTACCTTTATCTTACTTTTATCTCGCTGGCGCGAGCCATTTGCACGGGCATTTGTCATTATCTCCGTAGCGTTCGCGGTTCGGATTCTTTTTTTTTTAACCGCACCGCATTAACGTTTGCGCGAATGTTTTATATATGGGCGAGATTCGCGTGCTCGATAGAGAAATGGAAATATCGCGGAAATATTCGTCTAATAATAAAAAATTTAGATAAAGTAAAATGGAGCTTAAAGAAATGTTCTGAGAAATACTTGCGAGTCGGAAAAGAAATTGTCTAATTTCTAATTTTCTCTTCCTCAAGAATAAAAATTCTCTCTCGCTATAGGAAATCGGATTTGGATTCAGATTTTAATCCCTGATTGAAAGTCGGCTTCTCGCGTCAGTCGAGTCATGTACCAAGTTAAATACCGTAAAGTTTGATAACGCAGAACGCAGCTCGATAGGGTGGCTCGAATTAGAACTGAAGTCGAGTTTCTTTCAACACTTTTCCTCCCGGCACCGGTTATCCCGCGGGAGGAGAAATGAAGGAAGGAAATCTTATAAATGTGGTAACTCATTTACCAAGTACGTCTTCGGAAGTACGTGTGCTCCAAGTTAACAAACTTCGCCGGAGTCTTCCTCGTTTTACCGGAGGACAGTATTAAACGCGATTTTCGTTTTATCTTCGCGAAACGGCACAGTCCGGTAACCACAGCGGATAATCACGCGGGTCTGCCCCGGTCTCTTGTTCATGCGGCAGGCGCATAAAGCAAATTTCAATCCATTAATGCTAAAAGGCTGCCCCAGTGCGCGTCTATCTTTTCCGCCGATATATAATGCACTTGCACCGTTTGAGCTGCAGAGCATGGCATTCGCTCAGTCAGTGCATTCCGGGCGCATTAATTGGCGCACGGCCGCGGCGAGGCGCTTGCCGGGTGTGTGTGGGATCGGCTGGATCGTAACAATAGCTATAGTAACACCGTGAGAAGAAATTCGCGGCGCGATAAAAAATCGCCCAAGGCTCGCGTTCGCATTGATGTCAAGTTGTAGCGGTTCTCCCAGAACGGAACTCGAGCTCCCTGCTCCTGCGCGCGCGAATTGCGAAAGATCGTAGAAAGTGCATTCCTGCCGTTTGGAAATCGATTTTAACTCTACGTCAAGGTCGCCGGACGTGGGATAAGAAAAATCAACATGTAGATGTAAAGAAACTGGCTGTCGATATCGGCACCTATTTTCAGAACGAGGAAACGGTGAAACGTTACAGAGAAATTTCGTCATTGCAAATTAATTTATTTAGTTCGAGTTCTGTTTCAAAAGTGTGACATGCATGTCGAACAGAATATTAAATTAAATCGCAACGACTCTGTAATAACGATTTTTGTCTTGTAAAAATAGAATGTTCTTATCTAACTGCTGTGAGCTAACTGCTTATCTAACTGCTATATACTTGAAAAAGTATGTAGTTACAGCAGCATTAACATAAATCTGAATTGTATATATTTATAAATCTATATATATAACTCTGTATTGATTAAGATTTACTAAATCGTACTATATACAGCAGTATCGAGAAAGTCATACACGATCATAAAAAAATCAAAGGCAATAGCTTTGCAAGCTCTCTCGCATTGCAATCAACTCGTAATCGGATTATGCGGAATGGCGAAAAATTCTTGAATAATTTCGGCCCGAATAAATCACACATAACAAAGAAAAACGCGATATTCTCGCGCGCGCTTCAACTGCCGTTTCACATTAATGCATGGGTTTGCAACATCAATGTCATTCATCGTACATCTTGTCACATCTTCTAAAAACTGAATATGTACGTTTCAAACGTGTTTTTTCAACTGGAAAATTCCTTCGAAATCTGGCTCCTTATTTAATAACGCGAAATAGTTCAGAATATTCCCTTCGCTCTCTTCCGCATCCAGTTATAATAAATTAAATTTACGAGGCAATCGGCAACGAAAAATGGGGGGACTATTCAAAACTGCACGCCGCGGTTTATAGCGCCTCAGCTCCATTCATCATGCCAACTGTGGAATGCATCAACTCCTTCGGGAGGCTTAGACAGCGACATTTATAATTAATTCATCCGGCAAGTCGGCTTGAAATTTAAATGCAACCGGGCTCTATCGATTTTTCGTATCGCGGCTGTGCCTCTGATGACCGCGAAGGTGGCAGCACCGAGCGACCTCGGCAAGCGCAATAATCGACGAATTGTTTTTATCTCCCACCTGTGACACCGTTTCGCAGACAAAGGAGAGAAAAATAAGGCGCTCGCCTCTGGCTATTTTTAAATAAGCAATTCGCAAAAAAATCCGAAGAACTTTGTTCTCAAAGGATGACGACAGTGGGAAGTGGATTGTCATGGGACACAGATCTGAATATTATTTTTAGAAGTTTTAAGGTAAAAACATGCTAAACGAATTGTAAATAAATATATATATATATATATATTCAGTCCCACGAATGATTCATTGTCGCGCATAAAACAATTATATGATAATTATGAAATAAATATATGCGAGAAGCATCGTGTAATCAGGGGATCAATTCCAAATAAACGAATGTTCAGTAGAAATACATAATTATGGCCGAGCGTAATTAATCGTGTTATGCATAAAATCGAGTACTTCGAGCGAGATTATCGCACGAGATAGAAGAAATATCGTTCTCGCGTAATTTTCATACCGGCTCGGTCGCGATCATATCGCTCAACGCGAGTTTATAATTACATCGAAATCGATGGGGCCGACGATGGCTTTGCGCCAGCCAATTGAATTGTCGCGGCGATTGCTGGGCGGACTAATTTCTAGAGAGACCTCGTTATTAACGCGCGGCTATCGATTTAAATGAAATTTCGATCGCCGTTCGAGAGCAAGAGCTCGACGCCTTTTGCGCGACACGCCTCACCAAATATCGCGCACTTTTACCCGCGTCCCCGCCTCCCTTCCCGAGATTTTCTTCCACGTATATATACGGCAGCACGAAGAGGGGCCACCTATATATGCAAAGTCAGCGCGATTCGTGCGCACCCCCGATGCCTAATGAATTAAGAGAAAGTGGCGTGCGTTTCTTTGCATTACAAATTTTCTGCCTAGCTTTTACTACTTTACATAACACGATTGTTCCTTCTTTTTATCATGCACAAAAACACACTGGCCGCGAAGGGGGGTTGCTGCTCGTTCGTGAATCGCCGCGCGTCGTAGTACGTTACCACTTCATGAAATTTTCATCACTACCTTTTGTTTATATTTTACCTATTATACCCTCGTTTACAACGCAGATGCTTGGGAAAGGTTTAATAGGCAATATCATCTCATAACTGTATGTCTAAATTTACGTTGCAATTTCATAATCCGGCAGCCTCGGCCGTTACGTCAAACATTTGCGGTAATAATGGGGCAGTTAGCGATTTACTGCGTTATCCTCATGAATATTAACGTTTATTAACGGCTCGCCGTTACCTAAATACTATTCCCGATACCCGCGCACGCGAATTTCTATATGCCTCTTCGTCTTTTTCGTGCCGCGCGCCAGACTGTCACCGGCGGCGATTCGAGCGTTCTGGAAAGTCGGAATTAAATTGCCCGAGCGATTCAAAATTACGAATATTCGCGTACTTTGCACGAAAGTGCACGCGGTGCACAAAAGGTGCCTTTGCGTATCACGGCAAACGCTCGTAAAAAGAGAAATTCTCCCTCCTTCGTGGATTTCGCTATTACCGCGATTTAAAAATGAGAAAACAGCACGGAAACGATCCGAGAGATTATGATAGATGCACGACGCTTTCTATATCCTTCCTTTCTCTGCGCGATACGTTACACTTTTCTCGTGCTCATGTTTTAATAGTTAATTCGCCGTGATGCGGGATGAAGTATGGGCCGTCCTACTTATATCTCGGATGTTGATAAATGCCATTTTTCGTCAGGCCGATATTCCTATATCTCGCAGAAAGTAGCATTTTGATGGCGTAAACGGAAATATCTTTATTTCGCGAATACAAGATCTTTACTTTAAATGCAGAATGAATTTTTTACTTTCACCAACATAATGCATTATCTCTCGGCGCCTTTGTGATAATTAACAACAATTTATTCATTATTAAGAAGATTTATGTGAAACACTTTGGATGTAATAAATTAACTTTTTCTGTTGCAGAATTCTCGTAAATGACCTCATAGTCCGACCACGATGTCGTCGACATTATTACTGAATTGTAAGTGCAATTTTCGAAATCTAAATCCATAAAAATCTTTTATTCAACACAAATTCTTTTATTCATTTTACGTGTACGAATTTTTTAATTTTTATTACTCGAACCATACAGGCGTTCTGGCGGCATGGCTGCTCGTCACGATAGGTGCGATCACCGTGTCCATAGATCGCGCTGACATTAAAACCGTAAGTATAGCCAAAAAGAGTTTCCTACAATTTCCGTATTATTATTTTTTGTTAATTATTGCTACTGCATTTTTATCATTGTTGCATAAGAAACCTTATACTTTCTTTTGCGATGGCCAAGATAACGCTGAGCGTCAGAAAGTTATGATAATAGCATTCTTTGAAATCCTTTGTAATGAAAAATTTCTTCTACACAGACTGTATATTTTTCTCACGTAATTAATATTAAATGTTTTGACTCGTTCCGACATTAGAGCCTCCTCTTTCTTTTCGTGTTATTGCTTTCCGTCAAATTGAGTTTTTTACAGTCTCAACCAGCAATCTATATTTTTATTTAGGTTCTGTTTACATTCTATCTAGTTCACTGTACTGTTTTATGGTCTATTTCTTTTTTTTCTGTTCACCTTATTGTTTTACGATCTATCCTTGCTCTAATCATTTTATTGCTTTTACTACGTAGACATCGTAGTAACTGCAGTTTTACTGGCGCCTTACCTTTTGCATATGATTTTTCATTCATGATCGTAAATGTATAATCTTATATATGTACGCAATAAAATTATTAAAGTTAATAACTTATTGGCGCAATTTTATTGCGTAACTAGTCACGGAGTCGAGTCACAAATTCTCTTCATTTTCATTTCATTGAGATTTTATATGCGCTTTAACCGGAAGCATGCGCGGGTTCTGATTTACTACTTTGAAAACGGAATAAGTTGGGAAATCGCTGGAAGATAGTTCGCTCTACCAAGGCCGATTACCTGTACTTTACGAGCGTCACAGTGTGCACGCACGTCCATCATTCGTTAACGGGATATTTCAAAACTTTAGATTGGATTCCGCAATGTTATTAAAAATATTAGTGGCGCGCGAGCAAAATTCGTGGTTTTATCGCCTCTGCGAATGGATTGGGAAAATAATTTGGAAATAGCGTGCTCCCGAAGCCTCGCACATTTATTTTTTGATTACACAGACCGCCGCTTGTATGCGATGGCGGGGAATAACAGTCTCTTACACTTACGATTTTCTCGTACCTCCGTCGCGGTGAAACTGGAACAGGAACCATTCCATTAACCTCTCCAGGAAGTTCGAGTATCGCATTACTATTGTCGTCGCTATGGCGTGAACGAAAGTTGTGTTTGATGCACCGTGTATAGGGAACGTACACGAAAGCTTTATGACAAGGCTATATAACAAGTTCCTCCATCACGGCACAGTAGTCTAATGGATCGTCATCAGAAAACGATTTTTGTTGTAATATAAATAGAATTAAAAAAGTAAAAAAAAAATTTATTATATAAAAAATTATTAAAAAATATTTTTTAAAATAAGTAAAGTTAAAATATTATCGCAAATATTCCATATTACAATACAAATACAAAATATTATTCCGAAGTCAGAGAAATAAGAACATCACACACGCAAATTTTATTGATTTAATTATCCTCGATGTTTAATTTTCGATGATTAGACGTCTGGTATATTCGATACAAATTTTCCTATATATTTCCATTTCGAGAACTAAAGCTCAAGCTTCGATCCGCAGCCACCAACACGATCGTCGATGATCGCGAATGGATGGCGACCCCTGACCAATTCCTACGAGGAAACGATCGGCACCAACGTATCGCCGTCGAGCCACCTAGAGAAGAACGTCCAGGTGCATCCCGTCCTGAGTAAATTTCAGGAGCACATGGCGACCTCGGAGAAACTGAAGCCGTTGCGTAAGGGCAAACCGCCGGTGCACGAGTACAGTCCGCCGAGTATACTCGGCAGTTTCACGGTGTTCGGACACGCGGCGACGAAGGCGCGCGGCGAAACCAAGACGCCGAGCAAGCACGTGGCTACGGAGACCCGGGAGTACACGTTCCTGATACCGCCACCCAAGGACGCGTATCGCTTCGAAGTGAGCCAACACCGCAAGCCGGTCGTGCGCGACAGCGGTGCCTACTTGCCGAGGCAGCCACCACCGCAGGCGTCAGCCTATATCGCGGCGCAGAATGTCCATCAGCAACCGCCGGATACCATACGCGCAGCGACCTACTTCATCAAGGGTTTCTCGAGCAATCGCCCCTACGTCCCGCCGTTCGCCATGCCGCAGGCGTTGCAGCCACCGCGCCAACCGGAGAAAACGTTCGAGTCCCTGAAGGTCGCCAACAGCGCGAAGCCGTACTTCCAGCCGCCTGGCGCGGAGATCCCGAGCGACTTCGGCAAGCAAAAGATCGGCGGCGACGGAGATATTTACAGATATCCGGCGCAGTCTCACAACTCGCAGGTGATAAGCTCGGCGAGCACCGGCAACTTCTACAGCCAAGTGAATCATCCCGCGAATCACTACAAATCCACCTACGAGCGAGACCCCGCCTTCCTGGTGCACGAGAGTCACGAGGTCAGCTACGCAACGCCACCCGGCACGTACAGCTCGTACAGCTTCCGGCCCTCGTTGCCGTACGAGACTCTGCTGCCGCCCTCGATCTACTCGTCAACGCCACCGTCCACCACCGCCGTCACGCGGAATCCTGCCAGCAAATTCGGCCAGGCTAACGACGCGACTCGAGAGCAGAACTACAACAAGCGTCCGGAGCCGGGAACGCGTAACAAGCAAGAAAAAGGCGGTCAGACCGAGTTACCTAATCCGAGAACTACGAGCACTTATTACGTGGCGGAGCACCTGGAGCACACGCCGCCCACGTGGCCGAAGAGCAAATACACGTCCGACAACATCAACGAAGTTCTGCCGAAGGAGAATCCGCCGAGCAAGTTCAGTCAAGAGGTCGTAAACCAGAATCAGATTACGCAGGGCCCGAAGATCGTGTACCATAGACCGCAAAGCTCCTTCGAGCCCGTTGAGGTTTACCCGCCGACGACGATACCGAATTACGAGACGCCGGAGAGCATCTCTCTGAAGCACTTCAATGAGCAACAGTTTCTGCTGCAGCAGCAGCTGCTGCTGCGCGACCGGCAGAGACTGGCGGAGCAGGAGCGCCAGCAGAAATTGGAGATCGAACGGCAGCAGCAGGAGGAGCTGAAGAAGCAGCAGGAGCAGATTGATCAGCTTGCGCAACGGGAGAACGAGGACGAGGAGGCGGCTAGATTTACGGAGTCCGCGAAGAATCAGTCGCAGGATGTCGCGAAGATCTCGGGCCAGCCGTACGCCGTTCAATTGGCGCAGTACGAACCGCAGGTCACCACGGATGGAAATATTCTGGTGTCGCAGCCTGGTATTTACAATATCGAACAGTTGAGACTTCAGCCTCAGGTAAGATCTTATTTTATAATTTGTCGCCCTGTCGTTTTAATTAAATGATGAATAAATATCACGAAAATTAAATGGAAAAGTTACGAGGAGATAAAATATTAAATCGTAAAATTCTTTCAGCAGAAATTTACCATCCTACTTGAAGTAAATTAATTCAATCCAATCAAATATGTTCAATAATTCATTACGCTTATTGGTTCTTTGCTACTTTCCTACTAATATAAAAAATAGGATATAAAAAAAAGAATTCTGAATTGTCTATCGTAGGTATCTCAGTTCCCGGAGAATCAGGTGAATCAGAATTATCAATACCAGCAGCACTACCAGAACGGGTATCAGGAGCAACAGGTCCGTTATCGCGAGCCCCAAACCGAGACGCGGCCGTACCGTCCGCAGAAACCGTCCCGCGACCCGCAACGGCGCAAAAAGCCGACGGCCACGGTGGTCGCGCACGAACTCTCGCCGACGGATCCGCCGAGCCAGCCGCCGGATACCGCCATTCCGTTGACCCTGTACGCGGAGGATGTGCCGATTCAGACGACGGTGGTACCGGAGGTGCAAACCGCGCCAACGGCGACGACGCAGAGGTCCAGAGAAAGGACGCGTCGGCCGGCCGTACCCAATCGACGAAGGAAACCCGCGACGACGACGCAGGAATCCGTCACTACGTCCTACCCGGAGGAGGACTACCTCAAGTACAATAGGGAGGACGTGCAGCACAATAATCAGCACGACTCTTCGCGTAGAAGACGAATAAAACCCACCACCCAGCCGAATTACAACGAGGACGCGGAGAAGAGGGGAGGGAATGTCAGGAAACGACCGAGCCATCGGACGAAAGTGAGCCACGACGAGTCGTACGACGCGCAGATCGTCACGGAGAATGTGCCCGTCTCCCTGAACGCTTACGGACAGACCACGGAGCCGAGCTACGAAGAGAACAATCAGTTCGCGACGAATCAGCCGGGCGTATCGTACGTGACGGGCCAGCCGATTAATCAGTATTACGACTACGCCTCGCGGCAGAATGAGGGTTACCGCGAGGATCAGCGCGAGGACAGCGCCGTGCCGCAACAGGCGCCGGAACAAGTGTCGGAATACCTCACGGAGATCAGCCGCGGCAAGGTCGAGGATTACAACGTTGACACTCGTCAACAGAACGTGAACATCGCCACCAACATACCGCTGGAGGATCTCTACGTGAAGACCGACGGTAATTATTACGATCGCGCGACCACGGACGCGCCGACCACCGCGACGACGACGACGACGACGACGACGACCACCCCGCAGCCGGCGACGCAGGCACCGCAGGTCGTCACCTCCACATCGAGGTCGCACAAGATCCGCCCGTTGAGATACGGCAACGCCACCCGACCGCGTTTCAGCATCAAGGATTACAAGAGCCGCATGGATTACAAGAACAGACTGAGCTCCACGACGGAGGTGGCGCCGACGCCGTCCAGCGAGGCCTTGACGCGCGGTCCGCACATCAGGCAGAGAACGTCGAGCGCGAAGAGTCAGCAGACGCAGCTGACGGGCGACAATGTCCGCGAGACCACCGGCAGATACAAGTACGTCTCCAGGGTAAACTATCGAACCACCACGTCGTCCCCCACGGCCACTAGGGAACACGATCGATACTCGGAGGAGAGCGCGTCGTCGACGACCGAAAAGACCAAGTTTGTGCCGAAGAGACGACCGATCAGCGGCAACGTCTACCGAAGCAGAATTGCCTCCACCACGACCAGTCCCACGCGAACGCAGATCAGCGGCGAGACGAACGTCAGGCAGAGCTCGGCGCGACCCGAGAACGTGTACTCGTCGTCGATACGCAGACGGCCGATCATGAAGAGCAGGCTGCAAAAGGAGAGCAACGCGGATAGCAGCAAACGGCAGGAAGAGCCCACGGAGATGGCCGCCGAGGAAACCAGTTTCTACTCGACCGCCTCGTCGACCGGTCGTCTCGTGGGCAACGAGATCGTCAGCGAGAAGGGGGAGGCGGCGTCGGCGGTGAAACTCGGCGTGCAGGAGAGCAAAAACCAAGGAAAGACCGTTTCGCAAAACGAGGAGACGAGAGCGGCGGCGCCGCCGGCCGGCGACGATCGCGGACAGATTTCGAGCGACGAGACCGGCGACGAGCAGACGGGTCGAGTCGCCGAGAAGCCGGAAAACGCCGCGACCGCCGGAAGCGAGGACAGCTCCGCGGCGCGGGAGGGAGGCGAGCCGGAAGCCGCGGAGACCACGACGAAGTTCGACGTGCAGTCCGACGAGGAGGAGCTGTTCGCCAAGGCGTCGCAGAGCGTGGCGGACCTGACGAGCTCCGCCTCCGCTCTGTACGACAAGCCGGGCATGTTCAAGGCGGTCTCGCCGGAGAGCAGGCTCGTCTCGTCGCAGTTCAAGATCACCACGGACGAGCCGACGTTACCTATCGAGGCCTTCTTCCAGGAGCTCTCGAAGAAGAACTGATGACTCGGGGTAAAGCTCTCTCTCTCTCTTTCTCTCTCTCTCTCATTCCACCGCGAGCAAATCGCGTCGAATCGTAGCACACGCGATCGACAATCGCGCTTCGAGGAGCAACGAGAGGAAACCGTAGGAGTACCCGCGAGCTTCCTTCGAGAAGCGAAACACATCCGAGATTTATTTTCGATAATGGTTTCGTAGGAAAACCTATATTTCAAAAAGAGAATCTGAAAACATTACGTCGGAAAAAGATCTACAGATTTCTCGAGGCATTCTATTACTTGGTCTATAAAAACGCTAAACGTAGAAAGTTTCGAGAAACTGGAGGAACTTATACCTTATGTGCACCGTAGTCTTATACGTACTTTAATTCCGCTTCTAAATTATTGTCATCGCGCCGTCGTTTCCATCGTAGAAAATTAAAACGCGCTCAGGGCACGTCGAGCGCTTCTAACACACTATCATCATTTCGAACGTACATACATAATTTCCTATAGATATTAGAAAAACAAAGGGATAATGATTAAGTGTCACAGCGAAAACGCGGTGGGAGAGAAGAAGCGCTGCTGCTCGACGAAACTCACTCGGTGGAGCAGTCGCGCTTTTTTTCTCGCGAAAGAAAGCTCGGCAGGACATTGCGTGTGCAATAACTGTTAAAAAGCGAATTATTCGACCTACTCGTGTCCTGCAGCAATATCCCTCGTATACGTTCTTTTTATGTATTTTTACGTTAGGTGATACTCGTAAAAAGAGAGAGATACCAAAAGCATATTTCGCGAATTAGGCAACGTAACGATAATGATCATTGGGAAACGCCTTATTAGTGTAAGCATGCGAATCATCCCATTGTGTATTTATTTAAGAGATCATTCCCGAAATCATTTCTCGTCATGACATCGGAACAAAGGAACTAACGAATGCGCTACGAGATATTGTAAATATAAGTACGTAGCATAGAACTTTCAGAGTTGCTCCCAGCAGCTAGATTCTGTAACTCTTAACGACAATGTCGTTATCGTTAGATTGTGTCATTTTGCAGGTAGAATATATGGTGAAAAATAGCTGCGTTAAAAGTTACAGAATCTAGATTCTCGGCAGAAAATCGGTATCGAATTTTATTAAAAAAAAGACAAGAGATACTTTAAGGTCGTAAAAAGATTTAGCAAATTATTGCTATAAGTAGATTCTTCGAATTTTCTACAAGCATCGCATTGTTTAGCAATTAGAAATAACCATTTTGAAAAAACTGCCACATTTCGAATTATTACGCGGAGACCAGAAATTTTGTTTACCAAGAATTCATAATCCTGCCTAATCCTATATTCATAAGTATTTTGTATGCCGATATAGATAATTTAATATTTTTATATTTGATTAAAATTTAAGAAATACGCACTTTAGGTATTATATTTTTCTAAATAAATATAATTTTATCAATTAATAAAGATATAATTTATATGCAGAGAATCGGATGCTAAATAAAAATATATATCTGGAAGCACATTTATATAATTACATAACGTAACGCGTGCGCATGTAACGATACGATCGATATGTTCATTGTACTTACGTTATTTATATGTATTCATATATAATATTGTTTTATATATAATATCGTTTTATATATTGTAAATAAATCGGATTAGATCAAACGCAGCGGGACGTAAAATAAAGGCACCCTAAAAACTTACTAAACTTACCTCAACCTCGACGACGGAAATTAAGGGACACTTCAAGCTACAAAGGGCCAAGCGCATGTTATAATAAGACAACGCCGTTTGAAACACCGTAATCACCATTTGATTTAATGATTCGTTTAATATCGTTCAACTCTATATTTGAGTTACGGCGAATGCGGTTACATACGTATAATCGTCAACAAGTAAAATACTATTTCGGAATATCTCCTTTACAACGCAAGAGCAAAGTCCCCTAAAGCACAGCGCGATCTCTCCGCTGAAAGTTTTAAAGAGACAAGCTGGGAGATGGATTTGCAAAGATATACAAATACTTTCTTGCGTGCACGACGGTAAGTATCTGGCTGTAATAGATTTTCGTATCGTATCGGAGTTTCTAGAGCGACATCATTTCATCCAACCTTCCCCCCCCCTTAAAAAAAAAACGAAAACATATATTCTACAAAAAGCAATTGGACATCACGAGCGGGAAATATTAATGTACAGTACAGTTTTGTACTCACGATACCTTGCGATACATTCCGCGCGTTTCCGAGGTGCGCGGAAAGGATCCGAAGTACAGAATAGGCCCTGCGAAACTAGCGTTCTAGGTACGATCTTGTCGAGTATATTCTAGAATTTAGTTGGTAGGACGAGACAGTATTTTACCCGTCTCGATACTATTTGAAGTTACTCTCTCTCTCTCTCTCTCTCTTTCTCCCCCTCCTCTCTCGATGCTTCCTCCCTGTAGAATCGAGTTACATCCTCCCTTTTCGCCAATTACATACGTATACGGGTTATTACTTCGAACATACCTAATTTAGAATTATGCACAGGTCATCGTCTTACATTTATATACCGTCTCACATTTATATATCATCTCACATTTATATACCGTCTCGCATTTACGTACCGGCTAATACCGGCGTTACTTTACGTACTCACACGTACACGTGTATATGTATATGCCTACAGTACGTAATTTTACGCTGGCTGAAGTTTTGTGTATATCGTAAAACTCCATATAATTGACAGTTAAAGTGTTTTACAGTAACTCGAGGTACATACAGTACGCGTATATACAACAGTATCAAACTATAAGACGAAGTAGGCACACGCACACTAAAATATAGATATATATATATATATAAAGGGGAGGACGGGGCTATTCGGAACCCGGGGCAACTCGGAACTCTCGCTATATCTCGAATACCGCATTACCGAATGTAAGCGTCATATAACCATAAATGTCAGGCTAAAAAGGCAATTTACAGATAAAATCCAGTTTGACATTCGGTAATGCGGTCTTCGAGATATAGCGAGGGTTCCGAGTTGCCCCGGGTTCCGAGTAGCCTCGTCCTCCCCTATATATAATATTGTAATATATATATTTGCACTATACCTGCTGCAACAGCGCCGAGTGAGCAAAAGACATGGACGTCGCGGCTAACTATCGCACGCACATCGGCAATATCGCATACCGAAGCATGAAGACCCACATACTCGACGATACAAAAGGAGACGGCAAGGTCAGCCGACAGAACGGCAAAAATTTAATATTGGATAGATGTTGATTTTGTGTGTTTGTGTGTATGTGTGTTAAATAATCTATCAACATTCCAACAAATAGTAACCTGGGCTGCATTGCAAATCTATAAAATGCGGCAACACACATCTCGACTTAAAGTATCGATGAAAACGGGACGACCATTATATTTTCGAACGACAGTAACATAAAATTAATCAGTAGCAATATTAACGTTATCTCTGAAGCTAACGTTGGTAGAAAATCATTCGTCATGATTCACATGGTTTAACATGCGATGATTGGCTTTCGAATGCACAGCGTGAATCGCCGCGTCAAACAGCGTACATATACCTGCTCAGTGGTTATTTCAACAAAAATACACGCGCATTATAAATGAAAGAACGAAAAGCGGACGTAAAAGCGCATCACTTATTTGAGGAAAGTTAGGATATTAATCGCTTTAAAAAAGTTCGCCGTATCGTCTCCGTGTCTTTGTCTCCGGGCAGAGCCATTAATATTCCAAGAGGCGGCGAGACAAAAGTGAACCAAGCCAACGTGTGAAACGCGGAACTTAAAGGCACCTTTACGTGTGCTCGAGAGATTAATTATTACGACCAGGGATAATGGGACTTTTATATGAGGAATGCAGCTGTAAGGTGATTATATATTGTTTCTTTTTTTTTTTTTTCAAAGGGAAAATACTGATACAGTTCTTACACTTAATTATCTTTTTATCAGAAGACCATTTGTATCTCGGACTGGTCTCGCGAAATGTTGTTGCTTTCGCGTGAAACTTTAATATCTCATTCTGCACTCGCGGAATATACATACGGAAAAACGAAATGAAATGAATTTCGTTGATTGGAGACATGTAAATTTTATTTTCCCAACATTTCATTTCAATAACTCGCTGCACTGTTCCGTACACAATTGCCACGGAATATCGTTAACCGAATTGCACTGTATACAATCCGATGTATCCATTATGCTTTCGCGTGTGCGTGTGCGTGTGTGCGTGTGTGTGTGTGTGTGTGTGTGTGTGTGTGTGTGTGTGTGTGTGTGTGTGTGTGTGTGTGTGTGTGTGTGTGTGTGTGTCGTGTGTGTGTGTGTGTGTGTACCTTCAAAACGTGTATCGGTCTTTTAAATTAAACCGCTTAGAGTTTACACATCGCCGATAATACCGTCGACGGGAATATGTAATTTTACAGTCAGATGTCTCTGGAAAATAGGATGAAGACAGCGAGTGGCTTAACCATAGCCGGTAATATACTATTACATACGAGGGGCAAGCAAGCATTATACGGACCGCACGATGCACATTTTATACGTATCAGCGTTACAAGGGAGAATTTTTAAAACAAAATTTCGGCCAAAGTCGACTAGTCCTTTTCTTTATGCTAATGCGTTCAGTCTAGTGTCCTGAATATAACTTTCTTCTAGTCGAGATGTCTAACGCGATGCGTCCGTACAACACTGTGTACATCACGCATCGCTTCGTACTTTAGTAAAAAATATAAAAAAGGTAGCGTCTCGTGAGAATAAAAATTGGTTAGTTTAAAACGTACTAGAAAAAGAAGTTGCAGTGCCTCGTGTATATAAATACGGATGTAATATATATATATACATATATATGTATATGATTTATGGAAATATTTCGTACGTTTAATTCTTTTAGACAGTGGTACGTGTTATGTAGCTCAAGCTGATATCGATATATTTTCTATCTATACGCCTATTAACGATTAACCGATCGGCCTGTCCGTTTCGCGCTCGATTGCATTAATCTTTGTTACATCGCGGGGAGATTTGCAAGTCATGACACTCGTAACTTGCATACAGCCAGCGGTAATGCATTTCTCCGATTGAAGCGGAAAACGCAACGTCGTCCCGCGAACTTAGACACGCGATCGCGATCGAATAATATATTTTATTATATGCTATATTAAATTATTGCATCTCATGTAACACGATAAAATATATCTAAATTTAATATTTTAATATTTTAAATACAGTTTAATATAATATATGCTGAGTTAGAGTTGATCAATAATAAAATAAACTGAGAGAGCAATTTAACGTTAACATTCGAAATTTATAAAATTTCCATCTCCAACACTTATAACTCTTACATCGTAAATTTAGGACTAAAATTATGAAATTTTTATTCGATAACTTTCCTGCTTTCTCTCATCTATCATTTTAACGTTCGATAAATCTTAATAAATCTTTTTACTTCATGTCTTCGGAACATTATACGTCCTGTCACTTCTTTTCCTTATTTTCTTTGACGTTCGCGAAATCTGTCAATTTTCGTAAACGTACTTAATCTAATAGCACACATCTCGAAGCGAATCTCTTACCTCGACAATCGTCACTTTTCCGCTCACGTCATCGCGCTCCAATCGTGTAAATGGCTTTTCGCGAAAGCGATCAACAGTGGACGGTCGATCGGCCGATTGGTTAACGCGATGCACTTATAACACTTTCAAGCGGGTCTCCCTATGCTACGACCCTTTTTAGAATTTCCATATGTGGCTTTGAGACGTTGGTCCACTTAGTTTAGTACGTTATTATCACCTTTTATTTTAATGTAAAACGAGGCCCGCGTGCGTCCGAGGCTCGCCTGTAACGCACGCGAACGTGGGCTTGAAGCCTAGAATAAACATCGATCTCTCTCACGCTGCGATCGCGAATGGATGATAGGTGGTCGGGAATCGAAAACCGATATTAATTCCGGGCGGCGGCGGTATGTAATCCTTTCCTAGTTGCATCGCAAAACTTTTAATCGTATCACCGCGAAATACATAAATCACGGGAGGAGGGGGTATATAATCCAATACATTAATCGCATTAGCACCGGTATTTTTCGATTCGAGAGAGTTGCTCAGCAACGGGCGCACTCTCTCTCTCTCTCTCTCTCTCT